CCGTACTTATGATACATACTTGCCATTGGATTAGTGGACTGTGTTGTGCTAAGAGAAAATAAATATATATTGAAAAATTGTATACAGTATTTCAAATGGGATGCTAGTAAATTCATTTCCTGTAAAAATCTTTTCTTCTTAAGAACTGCCTCCTTTCACAAATGTCCTTGCCTCCAACCTGTTTCCTATTTTGTCCTCTGAACCTCTTGATTACTATAGTATGATCATATCCCTACTAGGGATGTAAAATCCCATTTAATCAGTTAACCGACTGGGCTGGAACGGCTCCCCCACCCAGACTGCAGACAGGGACTGCTCCATCCACGCTGGGCCCACTGTGTCCAGGGTCAGCTCTGGTTGGGCTGGAGCGTCCCCCGCCTGTGGCTGGATTGGCGGGTGAGGGGCTGCTCCAGCCCACCTGTTAACCATTCACATCCCTAATCCTCACATAGGAAAACATATGAACTGACCTGCTGTCCACATAGATTCTACAAAAGTTATTATTCTCTCTCAAGCATAATTATATAATGTGATCGCCACCCAGGGAGTTTGAACACAGTAGCTACCTTTTCTTATCCTGAGCATTAATTCACATTCAGACCTTTCAACAAGATACTATCTACAGTGATCTTATTTGACTGAATTCTGGTTTTACATATTTATTTAGTAAGAGAAGCACAGTGATATAGTTTTTATTTTGGTTTGTTTTTACTAGGACTAAGGATCATTACTTGAGGGAATGCATGATGGTTTCTAATCTTAAATTAAAATAATTAGAATTTTAAAAGAGAAAAATAGAAGGAAGGAGGTATAGTAACTACGCTGCATGTGTAGTTAGGGGTGTACTTATGGGCTGATTCTTGCGGGTTTTGTGTATTACCAATATTTGTATATGTGAAAACTGGTAGTCATAATAACAATATTTTAATGTGCCCCCATTATTTTTTTGCCCATTTAGTATGAGACAATTGCATGCAGGATTATGTGATAGTCATAAAGTTAAAGGAGTTCTGTGAAAATTAATATGTATTGAGATCAACTATATTTTATATTCAAATATAAACATGCTTTATTTTGGGAGTGTGTTTACATATTGTGCTGCTGTGTAGAAGGACTTCATAAGCTGATCTTGTTGAGAGAAAATTCTGAAGAGAAGATGCTTCCTTCATTTTTTGCAAGGACTGAAGCATTTATCTGGCTTATCTTCGTTTCCCCAGAATGTAGGCTTGTTGGGTGTCAAAAGAAATAGACACTTAGGAAGAAAGAATGCATGAATAGAAGCCGAATGGAAAGGCAGACAAGCCTATTCCCAAAAATAAATATTTAAGATACAATTAAAGCAGTAAACATATGTTATTTAGATCAAGAAAAAGCACACATTAGAACATTATAGTTATTAAAATATTTGAGTGCCTGAAAACAATTATTTAATTGTAGCTTAAAAATGAGAATGCTTTAAATGTCAGCAATTTACCAGTCAACCTTCACCCTGACATAGGTATCCCTGCCTATCATATTACATGCCTTTGATTTTTCTGGAAGAGTCAGTATATGAATGTGTATAACTAATACTGCTAATGGGGAAATGTCATGCAGAGCCGGGGATCAGCTATGCTGCTGCTGCCCTGTTAAAACGTTTCAAAAGGGGCAGCGTGTTTCAAAGGGGCAGCCCTGGACCCTGGGGTCCCCTGGGGACCCCTGGGGACTTCCCAGCAGATCCCAGGCTCTGCACGGCATTTCCCCAGAACCCAGGAAATGAGCTGTGAGGTGGCTGCCCCTTTGTAACACTGCTTCTGCATATTTCAAAGGGGCAGTGGAGCCAGGAGTCAGCTGGGGAGTCCCCAGCTGTTCCCGGGCTCCATGTAGTACTGCCTTTTTGAAGTGCCACTACGGCACTTCAAAGGGGCAGTGCAGCATTAATGCCTGTGATTAAAGAGTTAAAAAATGTAATGCATTAATCCTTGACTGCCTTAATCACAGGTGTTAACGCATGTTCATTGACAGCCCTAGTTAGTTATCTTGTGGTTTCTGTATACTTGAATTGAAGGGCCATTTGTATGATGTCAAATTGAACAGCACATGAACCTTCTAAAGGTGTGTATAAAAAGGCATCACAGTCAAGATGCACCAGGGAGTAATTAGGGGGGTGGAGTAGGTAGGTGGGGCTGTTTGGAGTATAGTGAAATACTAGAACTATATTGTTTGAGAGAGATATAATGGAGAGGTGTAGAGCCCTGCAAATCTGCAGGCATCTGCTTTATATTTTCAGATATCTGCATTGGTGGATGTGGTTGTATGTTACAATCTTTGTGGATTAGATGCACACCCAAATGTTTGTATTCATGCATGTCCTAACAGTGAGGTGTGTGTGTGTGTGTGTGTGTGTGTGTGTGTGTGTGTGTGTATGAGGATATATATAGAAAGTGGCATGAAGATCATGGGTTGGATACAAGTTAATTATGACATGGATGGGGATTCAAATTTTTGCATCCACACAGGCCTCTAGAGAGCCAAGTATTGCTTTCTAACACACATGGGCAGGGAGTTAGGAGGCTGTTCATAGATCTGCATTGCCACTAAGAAAGAGCTGTTTTTATGGTTGCTTAACTGCTGCGTGCAAAGGAACAATAGGTCAGAAGTAAAGAGGTTTGTAAACTTGACACTGATGTTCCTGATTTTACCATTTAAGTTAATAATAGATTTAAAGTACTTATTTTACCATAATGATTTTTTGTCTGTATATTTCCTAGAGACATAACTGGTAACCCAGTAAGCATCACCTTTACCAAGTGATGCTTACCAGTAACCAGTTAACCGGCCGCCCAGCTGGGTTGGAGCAGTCCCCTGCCTCATGAGGGCGGGAGAACTGCTCTAGCCTAGATGGCCAACCATGCTGCAGGATCCCGGTTAAGCAGTTAAGAGCTTAAATGTAACGTTGAACTGGTTAACTGATTATACAAGCTCTGTGCTGGGCAAAGTTATGATATATATTTACCACCTTCTTGGAGCAAGGAGAAACGGGATGAATAGCAACTCTAATTTACAGCTTCCTCCATGATCTGCTCCTAAAGTAGTGCAGCTGTGTACTGCCCCCTCGTAGGGTTCTCACTAACTCTACAGTCTAGCCTGAAGAATTTAAATTAGATTACATCTGGGTTAAATAAGACAGCATGCTTTCCTGCTGTAGTATCCAGTTCTTCAGATCATCCTCCTGACTCACCTCTGCTATGATATTTACAATAAATCTACCAATGTAGTTAGAGGCCACTCCCACACTTGTTCTGCAATGCCACCTGCCCTACCTTTTCAAAGGGGAACATGAGCAGAGTCTTAGGAATCTCAAAGCCACATAGATCTTGTGTGTGTTTATGCTGGTGTTTATTTTCTTATCCCATCTCACCTTATGCAAGAGAGGAATTTATATTCTGAGCTGTACAAATGGTATTGAGCTTAAAAGGAGTCTCCTATTAATCTAAATATTAAACTTGAATATAATTATTGTTTGCAAACTGATTTGACAGCAGGACTTTGAAAATCTAATTCAGGCCATCAGGGAATACCCAGGATTGACTTAACTGCTTTGTGGTATTTCACAACACTTAAAAAAAAAATTCAGGTTGAAATGCTGACTTAAAAAGAAAAAAACAAACAAACCCTAAATTCAAAGAAAGCATAGAAAACTAGTGTATTTAGCAGTCTTTTAATCAGAATGTTGTGTTGACACCCCAGTGTGTGAAATTTGCTTTTTATGCCTCTGATTTTAGGAACTGAGAACCATATGGTGTCTTAGTTTTACATTTCTTAGATCTACTTAATTGCATCTGCATAGCAATTAGACTTGTGCATAAATTTAAGAAAATAATGCATTCATTTGTTCTTGTTGTGTAAAATATACTGAAAATTTCTGAAGGCTTTTACAGTAACTCTAAAAAATACTCAGAATAGGATAGTTTGTTTTATGATTGCAATTATACAGTTAATATCAAAGTTTAAAGTTTAGCTTTCAGTTTTCCTTTATTAATGCAAAAGTAGTAATATTAAATCCAAAAGATGAAGGTGTCAGAATCATTCAGTGAAGGGGACTGAAATACATTTATAAGCGCCGATTTGGCAAGGCACTTAAGCATGCGCTTATGTCCAATTGACTTCAATAGGGCTACTCATACTTCGAAAGTTAAGCACATATTTGGAAGCTCTTTGCGAAATACAGATGGGATTATTTGCTTTCTTAAAGGCAAGCATATATTTAAATGGTTTGCTGAGTTGAGATCTTCCTTTTAGCATCCATGAGATGGGGCAAGAAAAACAGGTTTAAGCAGCACCTTTATTCAGAAATCTCATTGGATAAGTTCCACCAATGCTGGTGGGAGTCTTGAACAAAAATTGAGTGTAAGTTATGGTTTTTAAGTAGAAAGCAACTCTTAGTACAGTTAATTAGGGGTACTAGGTACTATAATTTTGTAGAAATAAATGTTAACTGTTCTATTCAGCCCTATAACATGGGGGAAGTGACCATCTTTAGAACAACTCTTATTTCTGCTTTTTGGTTTTGCTCCTTTTCAGTTCTCCCTTGTCTTTCTTTTTGTCTGTTTTTTTTCTTCCTCTCTGCATTTCACATAATTTTCCCCATTTTTGTTTCTTCTTCACCTCTTTTATTCAAACGCCTGTTTCTCTAAAATACCACCTTTGATGCATGTGATCATTTCAGTAAAACTGTAGTAACTAGGTTAAGAGTTAACCCCATTACAATAATAGGGGACAACTGATACCTTTTGTAGAGCAGTCCTTTTATTCTGAATGCAGATTGTGTACAACTGCATTCCATTACTTCAGGTGAAGAAGACTATTCCCTGGTGCAGACAGATAAGGTTTGAGGTGAAATGTGCCTAAGAACTAATAGATGCCAGTCTGAAAGAGCTTACAGTCTGAAGGTGTAAGATGGTAAAAAAAGGATAAAGTACAAAAAAGGATAAGCACAGAATATTCTGAGGCATTATTACCCAATTGCTTCATGATATAAAAGTGTTCAGAACTTCTTTTCAAGATGGTGAGAGTCAACAGGGATGTTCAGGGATGATTCTATCTTGACTTCACTGAGTGAGAAGAGGTATAGGAACAAAGCGTGAATCTTGAGACCCAGAGAGCTTTGAAGATATTAAGTGTTAACTGACACATTCTAAGAATAAGACAAACATTAAGAAATTAAAGATGCATAAATGAAAATTAACTCAACAAAAATACTTGAGTTTTCCCATTTCTCTTGAATCTTTGTCCTTGTTTTTTCTTGGCTTATCCCATCTGGTCACACTTTACCTTTGCCATGTCTACACTAGCACTTATGACAGCAAGACTTTTGTCACTCAGGAATGTGAAAAAACACCCCTTCGAGTGACACATTTTGCTGGCAAAAGTGCACAGCGCTATGTCAGCAGGAGACCTTGATGCACTGGTTTTATTATGTCGATGGGAGAGCTCTCTCCTATCTGTGTAACTTGTCTACGCAAGAGCCAGAGTGGCATGGCTGTGCTGCTGTAAGCGAGTAAGTATGGTCATGGCTTCAGTCATTTTTTCAGAGCACCTTGTAATTTCACTGTTGTATTAACAAAAACCTTTTGAATTTCCTCCTATTCTTCATTCTTCTGAGTGTTTCTGCTAACCACTCCTGGTTTCCTTCACCCACTTGTGGTGATGAGCCATCTTCTTTTTGGCAGTACATGCTCGGAAAAAACTGCAGCTCGAGCTGAAGCACAGTGTTTCTCATCCTTTTAAAAAAAATAAAATAAAGTAAACCTTAAAAAAAAAAAAAAGTACCCCCAGTCCTCCTCTGCTCTAACCCAATGCCCCGCCTCCGTCAGAGCCAGACACTGGACGTATGGTAACCCTACCTTTAAAGTGCCCACTCCTGCCGCCCAGCCCTGCCTCGGCGGCTTGTCTGCAGGGAGCAAGTGGCTTAGCAGCTCTGGGGTCATTGCATGGGGCTGTACACTCCCACCTCAGCAACTGCCCTCCCTCGCTACGCCACTGATGTGGGGGGTCCTTGGAGCAAAGCTTATTGTGCTGCTTCACCACCTTTTAGCTCCTCTCCACAGCGTTGTACTGAGCTGCTGGCGGGGGTATGGGTAATGCACACCTCCCTGCTGGAGCACCCCGGGGAGACTGCCAGAGAGGAAGTGAACTAGGAGAGGTGGCCGTGGAAATGATTTATTTTTCTCCCTGCCCAAACCTGTCCCCTCACTTGGAACTGCCCTAGGTCTCACCAGAGCCGCCGGTGTCGCAGCCACGCACTTTTCTCACCTGCACTATTAACGTCCTGGTGCACATCTCTGAACATTCAATTTGACATACACGTGCCGTGGCCTCCTCCCCGATACCCTTTGCAGTGCAAAATCACAAACATTTTTTGCCAAATTTCATTTGTGATGATGTACCCCCCAGACTTCTCTGATGTACCCCTAAGGGCATGCGTACCACGGGTTGAGAAACACTACTGTAGAAAGCCTCTTCCTGCCCTCTTTTAAAAGCCTTGAAAATCCTAATTTCTTTCCTGGAGCTTTCTGACTGTGCCTCTTGACTGTGCTGTGTTTGTTCTTTTATGTGGTTACTGTGTTGTGCTTGATCACCTTAATCTGTAAACACATCCAGTTTATGACAGAATAGTTACATATTCAGTTAAGTTCATCCATTCTCAGCACAATGGGCACAACAAAAATAAGTCCAGTTCTATAAAAGTTAGGTTGATCCAGCTGTGTTACTATGGTATGTGTATGTGTGTGTGTGTGTGTGGGGGGGGGGGAATTAGTGTAGTTAAGCCAGTCTAACCCCTGCGGCAGACTGCACTAAGTTGATAGAAGAATTCTTCTATCTACATATCTACAGTTTCTTGGGAGGTGGATTAACTAAAGCAAGGGGAGAACTTCTCTCTCTGCAGCAAAAAGTATCTATACTGAAGCTTTAAAAGGGTGCTGCTGCAGAATGCCCAGGATACAGTGAAGTACTAGATATTTCATTGTTTTCCAAAGAACAAGAGCATCAGTGGGCATGTTACCCCCTGTTCTGTGTTTGTGAAGACAAAATATCCTTTCTAGTGATAGAAATGTAGCCGTGTTAGTCTGGTGTAGCTAAAACAAAATACCAGGACTATGTAGCACTTTAAAGACTAACAAGATGGTTTATTAGATGATGAGCTTTCATGGGTCAGACCCACTTCCTCAGATCAAATAGTGGAAGAAAATAGTCACAACCATATATACCAAAGGATACAATTAAAAAAAAAAGTGAACACACAGGAAAAGGACAAATCACATTTCAGAACAGAAGGGGGATGCGGGGGGAGGGGGAAGGAAGGTGAATGCCTGTGAGTTAATGATATTAGAGGTGGGGAAGGGAAGATATCTGTGAGTTAATAGTGTTAGAGGTGATAATTGGGGAAGCTATCTTTGTAATGGGTAAGATAGCTGGAGTCTTTGTTCATGCCCCGACGGAGAGTGTCGAATTTTAGCATGAATGCCAGTTCAGAGGATTCTCTTTCAAGTGCAGATTTGAATGTATGATTACCTGCCCTGTGGGCGGGTGGCGTATGTGTGCACCTGTTGCAAGGAGATCCTGACCCTCAGAGACCGAGTTCAGGCTTTGGAGGCCAGGGTGGCTGAACTGGAGATGCTAAGGAAGGTAGAGAGCTATGCTGATGAGACTTTCCGGGACACTGTAGTACTGTCCCACCTCCAGTCTGAGAGCCCCAGTGCTCTTAAGGAGGATGAGAGTCTCAAGGGAACAGAGCATTTAATGGGAGCAGAGGGAAACCATCCTGTAGTTGGGACCCTCCTCCCAGAGGATGTTGCGGTATCCTCTCGCACTGAGGATACCTCTGA